GCTAGCCACTAAACACAGCTGCAGAGGTTCACACCTTTTCTCTGGGTTGCTCTGAGCGCGTTGCAGAAGGAGGGCTTGGAAAGGACTGCGGGCTCAATCAAGCCCGGGCATCCTTTCTTTCCACCCCTTCTTTAGTGACTCAGAGCAACCCTGTCCCCGCGGGAGGCTGCGGCCTTGCCCCGACTTTCCGCGTGAGGGTTGCCTGCGCGGGAACTCAAGCTGAGGCTGCGACTGTGGAGGGCTACCAGAAAGCAGGCTGCCTGAGTAGCTGAAACAGGGGACCTGCCAGGCGGGCTGAGGGCCACTGTGCGTGAGGACTCTGTGGTCGCGGCACTGAGCTAGCTTATAGCAAGCAAGGCTGGCTGAAGCGGGCTGCAACAGAACTGCAAGAAGCGGACTGTTTTGCACTCGCTTCAGGGGGCTGTTGATGCGTCTAGAAAATTCTACCGCCACCTAGCTTGCGGGGGACGCAGAGTGTGGCAAAGCTGACCTAGCGAAAAGCTGAACCGGGCTAGGGGCCTGGCGCGAAATCTATCGAGCTTGTCTCTGCTGAGCTCGTCCGCCCACACGTTCTTTTTCCCGGAAACGTGGGAGACAAGCAGGGCTACGGAGTGGGCGCGCGAACTTGATGCCACCAGACGGAGGAAAAGCTAAGAGGTCAGGCTGTAGAGAAAAGCTTGTTTACACCCGCCTCTGTGGGAATGTTGTCAGAACCTGCAGGCATGGCGAAGGACAGGTACTTGTGACCCAAGCGGCTGTGAGCCATCTGAAGAAGGGCTAGCTGCGCAAGGGTCTCGAAGCAGGCTATGTACTTTTGGGCGTCTTTGCGCAGCTGGGGCCAGACTTCCCGCACCTCGGACATGGACCAGATCTCTGAGAACCAGTGAAGTCCGTCCTTGGTGCACAGCCAGCGGCTGCCATGGCGTCGGCTGCTGACACGCAACGCAGGAGGCGCGGCTCTGACAGTGGGAGCGGACTGCACACAGGATAGGAGCCAGGCTATTGCTGCTCTTGGTGAGGGTTATTTCGGAGGCTGTGGGATCAGCTATCCTGACCCAGGTAGGCTTGTCTGAGTTGGGAAGCAGGGGCACATCTGACTTTCTGCGTACTCTCAGGCTGCCCACCTCTATGACTCGGGCGGAGGCTGATATGTGGAGGCCAGGCACAGTCCTGGCGACAACGGCTCTGTTGTCCAGGCTAAAAAGGAAGCGCTGCCACACGCGAGCGTGGACGTTGTATAGCGTGCCTGGGGGGCTGTTGAGGTCTGAGTACATAGGCGCTGCGTGTGACCTGAGATGGTGGCTGATGGAGGTCGGGCTGCGCGGCTTGTCGCATCGCCTCGTGGACGTTAGTCCCGGAGGACTTCTGAGAGGGCGGCTGAGAGTTCCTGCGGCGCCGCCGCCATGCCTGAAAACTGAGTAAGCGCTTGAGCCTGAAAGAGAAGCTGCGCAAGACAATGGCTGAGGGTGCAAACACAGAACGGCTAGGCTTGCGCAAGGCCTGCAGGCGCGAAGGGCAAGATGCACGGCCCCCCTCTTTTTGGCAGAGCTGCGCGCGATTCGGAGGAGCTAGGCGACGACCCCGAAGTGCGAAGGCTAGCCAGGCCTGCTTTTATTTAGGGGGGCTTGGCAAGCTAGCAAACTGGATCAGTGCGACCCTTGCGCAGCAGATGAAGGCTGGGCTGTGATAAGAAAAGCCCGGACAGTTAGGGCCCACGAAGGCTGCGAAATCAAGGCTAAAAGGAGAAGGGCGCAGCTGTCCCGGCGGAGGGGGGGCTCTTGCTGGGGCTGGGGTGCTAAGGTGACCCCGAAGCAGTCATGCTCCCTGCGCGTGTCGGGTTTCTGAAGGCTGGGGGCTCCGCGCATGTGGATGGGTCTCCCGCAAACTGAGTGGAATGGGCGAAAGCGCTCCGTGCTTCACCGCAGTGGAGGGCTCCGTCGTGGTCTTCGTACCACGTCCGCACGCGGGCCATCCCCCTATACAGTGGGAGGTACAAGGCTTCTCTGGCACGCATCCCCACGAAATGTGTGGGGGCAAGGGCTGTGGCATTGTCCGGCGGCAGGCTAAGCAACTGGTCTGTGTCCGACCAGAAAAAGAAATGGAAGTGGTCATTGTAGACCATGGGACCTCCGAACTGGGCTGCGATGTCGCTTATGCACGATCTCTACATACTCGACCTCCTCGTCGGCTGCTGCGGGCTGAGTGGGCTGCTCTTGCTGTGCGGGCTGCGCTGGCTGCTGGCTCGACTCAGGGCGGCTCTGCTCTGGCTCCAGGAAAGCTGGGGCTGGGGCTTTGTCGCTGGAAGGCTGGTGCTCCGCCTCAGGGCTGCAGTCTCGTCTGCCGACAAGGGGTGCTGCTTCCTGGGCTGCCATCCTCCAGCGCTCCCGCTCCTCGTCCCTGTCGCAGCGCTCCTCGGTGATGCCCAAGACTTGGAGACGGGCTTTGCAGGAGGGGGGCTGAAGCTGCTTGCGGGAGGCTTGCTGAGGCTGTTGCCACTCTCTCCGACTCCGCGGGCTGAACCTCACCTGAGGGCTGTGCATCCTGGGAGGGCTGATCCCCATCTTCAGGCTCATCGTGGGCTGAAGGCGGCGCCTATCCGCTGCCGG